CGACTAGGGATCTGTTCGCACAGTCAGGGACGCTGGGCTGTAGACACTGAGAGTGAATCGGATGGCAAGAATTCGTCTTATGTTTGGAGCAAGCTGTTTCTTGATTTAGGGCATTTGCAGGTGCTGGCTCCGATGTCTGGTGTTCTCCCTGCGGGCCACCAGCTAACTGCGTACCCACGTGCTCAGGGATGCCTGCCTCGCTCTCCACGCGGTGCCCTTACACGGCCTCACGGTACTGCACCCCCCCCTTCGTTTTTCCTGTAATTGCCAGTGGACACGTGCACTTGCCTGAGAGCGAGCGAGAAAGCACCCCACCCGCAGCGGGACACGGCCATGCCATAATCCGTCTCCACTTCCCCACCCCTCAGGACTTGGGCACAAACGCACATGTGCCTGACTTGTTATTCAAACCCTGGGGCTGGGATTTGAAACTTGATTGGCCATGTGGGATCCAGCTCCCTTAACCACTGGACTGAGGCGGGCTTGATGATTTCTTTTTCTTTTTTAGTTTAATGAGAGAACACTTGCACGCACACGAGAGTGAGAGGGACAGAGGGATGAGCACTCTCCCCTGGGTCTGGTCAGGCCTCAAACCCTCCTCACAGCTGCATCTTGGGCACTCCCGTGGCTGCGTGCTTAAGGCTGACCAAGCCGGGGTTAGTGCCCTTCTTAAAGGAGTCAGGAGAGAGAATTCTGTCCCCCACACGAGGAAACAGCAAGCCAGCAAGACGGCTCTCTGAGGTACCAAATCCATGAGCAGCCCCCAGGACTGCGGAATCAAACGCTTGACCGAGTCACCGTCTCCGCCATGTGCACAGCAGTGGGGGCTGAGATGGAGCGTGCAGCTAGTGTGAGCTGTCCCGCTCCTACTGCTTGGTGATGACACTCGCGCCGCTGCAAGGTGCGAGGTCCACCTTCCCTCCCATTTACACAGAGACCTGGGGACACAGAACTGGATTCCACCAGATTCACTTGGGACTCTCTAAAATCACACTCCACAGGATCTGCAGAGCCAAGTTCTACTCACCTAAGGCATTCCCAAACGTGGGATGGGTCGGAGCTGCGGGACCAGTCGCCTGAGTGTAGATCGTCCTGGGGCTGGGAGGTGTGAGCACTGCCAATTTCCCGGGTTCAACTCTTTCGAGGTACCAGTCTGACCTTGCTGAATGCAGAGCTGGGAGAGCTCACCAGCCAAGATGAGGTAGTGCAAGCACACCACAGGTCCTAGTGTAGAATTACTAGCAGCAGTAAGTAACCTACCTTAGAGAAAAACCCTAACATTCAGAATTGCTCCCAATTACTCCACAAGGACTGCATACGATTTTAGTGGGTTGGACAGGATGCAGAGTTTCAAGCTGGACATGGCCCTATCTAAACCCTGGGAGCCAACACTCCCATTCATCTGGGAGAAGCTGCATGCTATTAAGCTGATGAAAACAAACTCGATCTGCTTACGGACACATATGGAGGTTTTCTATTTTAATGTAAAAGATCCCCTCAACCTTCTAATAGAATTTACAAGTGATTCAATGGAAGGGAAACCCTAAACTTTACAAAGAAAACCACTGACTATATTCACATGTCTTTTTAGGAACCTGTCAAGAATACTTTGTCACACACACAGAACTGGATCCAATCAAAGCTTCATTTTGTTCCTTACAGAATCAAAGCTCAGAAGAGTTACAGAACCCAGTCTGGCCCCGTGGATAACAGGTCCCGTGTCCACACCGGTCAGTGCTCTTCCATATTCTTCGTGTGCTTTATCACCAGTCAATGACTTAAAGAACAGCCAGCACAGGGGCCGGCAGGCGGTGTGGCGGTTCGAGGCGCTGGACTCCCGTGTGGCTGACGGCGGTTGAGTCCCAGACCTGGCAGCTTGCTTTCTCACTCTGTCTTGCTATGATCAAATTAAAAATAACAATGATAAGTAAAATAAATAATTATTTTTAAAAATATCAGCATAAAGGAAGTATTCTGACTTCGTAAAAAGTCAGAAATAGCCCAAATGTTCAAAAGAAAGGGAATACTAAACGTGGTACATGGATGTGGTGGTACATGCTAAAATAATTTTTCCAAAGAAAGGGATGGAGACAGTATGCTTCCAGCTCTCATTTAAAGTATCTTGTGGCTAGGAAACAAACCAGGACAGTTATCCAACTATTTAGAACGATTATCTGTGCAGTGAAATCGTATGAGTCATTCTTTTTACACCTATTTTCCAAACTGTCTACAAAGATGCTTTATAAGTAAAGAGATTTATTTATTGGAGAGGTTTTTGCCCTAGGGCATGTATGCTTGCCAGAGAGACAGAGACAGTGAGAAGTCACCCCCCAAGGGAGATGGCCACAATGGCAATCCCTAATCCTCCATTCTTCTCCCAGGAGCTTGGGCATGTGCGCGCGCACACACGTGCCCAGCATGATTTTCAAGCCAGTCTGGGATTCGAAACATGGTCGGCTATGTGGGAGTCCAGCGACATAACCACTACACCATCTGCTGGCCCCAAGTAAAATTTTAAATTTAGAAAAGGTTGTATCGATTTCTATGTAAAGAACTTTTTGTAAAGGATCTACTTCAGCGCTTTAGCTGTTCCTCAGTGAACCTGTTTCTAATTTTCTGAAACTTTACGTCCCCACCAGTCAAAGCCTGTGCCCATCTCCCCTTGACTACTTCTGAAAAATCGTACCTGAGCCTCTCAAAAGCTAGACTACATTCAAAATAGATTGTTTGGGAGCATTATTTAAAAGCACCAACTTCTGAGTTCTTACACCAAGACAGTGCACAGAATGACACACGCTCAGGTGCAGTGCGGTCCAATGCCAGGGAAGGGAGCGAGGGATACCTTAGACTCCGAGCCTTTCAATCATCCAAAGTTCCATTTAAAACTCCTCACTCTGCCATTACACAGGCTAACTTTTATCGCCTGACTGCTTAAACAATCCCCAGGACTGGTAGGTGTTTAGGGACAGCTGACGGATTTCAACATCCCGGGGCCGTGTTGGCAACAGGCTCCCTGCTTTTACATTAAGGCATTCGACAGGGTGCCCGGCCTCGGCCTTGAAACTCACCGTGGACACCAGCCAAGGTTCCAGTAGCTTGTCTGAGCAGCTCTGGGCTGTGTACAGCCTGGGAGCTGCCCCTCCATAAATGGGGATAATAAAGTGTCATGGGGGGAGCAGCCGGTGGCAGGGGCAGGGGTTAAGGCAGTCAGATGCCACGGAGGCATACTGCACAGTTGGTGGCTTAAAAAACACACCATGTGCATACCCAAAATCCCAAGAGAAATGCAAAGGAGGAAGGGTCGGTTATAGCGATCCTCCCCTGGGGGTGCTTCCTTACCCTCCCCCAAGCACACACACCCTCAGGCACATGTATTTTTAACCAGTGCCATCGGGCTGTTGGAAGGTCTGGAGGGTTAGCAATCCGGTCAGGTGCTATCACCGTGGGTGCCCAAGTCCCTAACGAGCTGGCGGCCTGAGGGAAAGGGTTGAGGCCTGACCAGACCATCCCAGGTGCCTGTCTATGTGCCTGCACCCCATCACGAATAACCTACTCTTAAAACAGAATACAAATGCTATTGAATAGTTCTCTAATTCTGTGCCCTCATCTGCAAATCTTGACAATTTTTACCTAAGAACAAGTGAACTGGTAGTGAGTTTGGCAGGTAAGAGGCCAGGAAGATTTCTTTTACCTAATACTATTTGGAATTAAAAACTTCTATACATAAGGAGACGTCTGTTACATTGTCCCAGTTAATGTAACTTAGACTTAACGGCCAAAACACACTGAATTCCCGACACTTGCGTCTGCATCTTTGCCTTGTGCAGATGGCCAGCAGGCCCTGCTCTCTAGACACTGGGAATGAGTGACGTGGGCCTGAGGTTCCAGGGAGGTTACTATGGAGAGCACTCGGACCAGCACTGGCTGGCTCCAAGCTTGGCAGAACCGCTGAGGGCAATGGCTGAATGTCAGGAGCAAGATTCCACATGGGCAACCAGTAAGCTGCGGCTCTGATGACCTGAAAAACACCGGGACACTTGTGTGGGTGCCCCAAATACTGACCGATGGAGAAAAAGGGGTGACCGCAACCATACCCCCTACCAACTTAAGGAATGATTTGGACCTCAGTGGCTGAAAGTATCAGTGGGTGTGTGCACATATGTGCCCCAAATCCCAGGAGAATGGAGAAGGGACTAGGCTGTGGGTATCATCCCTGGAGGATCTTTCCCTCTCTGTTAAGTGCACAAGCCCTATGGCAAAACCCCTAAGGTTTAAAATCTGTTACAGAACCTCAGGTTGTAGGACACTACCACGGTGACATGAGGTCCATGTGCTAATACTCTGACCTGGATTCTAAATTGAATGTAAATCAGAATCTCAATGTCTAAATTAGACCCATGACCTAAGGATTTTTACCTACATGAGTTCATTATTTGAGTAGACTTTCAAACTCTTCAGTATGAAAAAATTTTCTTTTTGCCTTAGGGTGTGTGCTCACCAGGAGAGACAGAGACCAAGACAGTGAGGGAAAGGAGAAACTGTAGGCAACCGCCCAAATCTGAGCACACGTGGTTTCTGTCCCATACACTAGGTATAAAGCTATTACAAATCAGAGTAGCATTACCAGTTCACACCTAGAGCCACGCTTGCTGGGCCACCCCGGGGACTAGACCCCACACGCCTGCCCATGTCCCAAGATCCAGAAAGGATGGAGAAATGGGAGAAGGGAGTGACACAAACACATGGCCTGGGGGCATGTTCTCTCCCTGTCCCCAGTGAGCAGATAAGGCTAGTCTTGTCAGGCCACCGTGTCTTGTCTTACGCTCCAAAGCAGGGGCTAAGGCTAAGTAAGGGGTCCATTAGATTCTAACAGGCAGTGACCTCCAAGTTCCATTTCTTTTAGAAAAAAGCAATCAACTAAAAACCCCCACAGGTCCCAAATGCCACACAGAAAGCAAACCTATATACTAACAGGTAACCATGAAATAACACAAAACAAATCTTGTGATTTTTTTATTACTCAAAAGAGTGTCATTTTTTATTTAGCTTTCTGACTCTGTGCTTGTGCCTTCAAGACTTTCACGACGATTTTCTGCTCCTCTATAAGGAAAGCACGCTTGATCCTGGAAAAGAGAAGAGATCCACTAATGATTTTACACACAGCCGGATTACTTCCAGGGAAGAACTGAGCACAGCAGGCAGGAACCAGTAAACGGGCCCCGGGACATCTGAGGGCTAAGACTGGCCGCTTTCAGCCAGAGGGCTCCTTCCTGCACCAACACTCGGGGCAGGGAACCTTCCATTCCAGCCAGTAGTACCTGCCTTCTTCTGGGTCACTGACATCATCCCATCTTGTTATTATTAGGATCCTGGACCTTCTGCTATTACTTGATTTACAAAGTGGCTTAGAGTTAGAATGTTTTAATGCAATTGATAATTTCTGGTAAAAACAGAGAATACGCCCTGGGAACGAAAGTTATGGGGCAGCCCAGTCGTGAACAAACAGCTAGGTACAAGCTGCATTTCACTGGCTTGGGCCACCCAGGACAGGGGTTCAATTCCCAGTCCACACTCAAGGCAGATGCAGCAATAGAGGCTGCCTGGACGACACAGCGAGGCCGTCTAAAAAGAACCAGATAGGCCAGCAGGTGTTAAGGCAGCAGGACCCCACAGGGCCGGTGGCCGGGTCTGAGTCTCAGACCAGGTAGCTTGAAAAAACCTGTGCCCCAAATCCCAAAGAGAATGGAGAAGGGACTAGTGTGGTCACCCTCTCGGGGGGGTGCTTCTCACACCACCCCCAATCTCTGAAGAGCACACCTGCCCTAGAGTAAAATTCAAACAAAACCTATGTGCTAGGGCAGGCCTACAGCCTGAGCTCGGAGGCTGAGACACAACAACACTGTCTTAAAAAATGATTTATTTAGGGGTAAAGATATCAGCAAGAGGCACTTCATCGCTACTGCCAGCCACAGCACCCTGGGAAATCACCTTCTCTGTAGCAGCAAGTGATTTCATGTCCCTTCCAGGAGAATTAAAGAGCATCACACGTGAAAGGACACTCTGGACCTGCAACCTCCCATTTCCGATGGCCAGTGCTGCTCGGGATGGACCTGGGCCACAGCAGGTGCTCCCCAGCTGCTGTCAAACCGAGGTCACCCCTCAGGCGCTCAGCCTGTCCCTGAAACCAGCCCCAGCCCACACTGCCTGCTGGTGGGCAGGCTCCCAGGCCATCCAACAGCCCACCCTCCAAACCTAGGGTTGACAAGCTTCAAATGCCCGGATGTCATCACACTCCACACACAGCAGCTGCCACCCTAACCCAGGCCCGTGCTCCGTGGCACTGCTGGCTGTGCTCTGGGCTGCAGTGCTGGAAGCCACACGGCTGACCACAGGTTGGGACACCTGGTCCAGCCAACCTGATGCATGCTGTGCACACACGTGTGCCCAAGATCCTGATGAGCTGCCGGGGGGAGGGGAATGTGTCTGTCTCTCGAACGCATGCACGTGCTATATACCGTGAATACAGTTATTCCTGGTCCTCTGAAGTTCAGACTCACAGAGTTCTACGTGGCCTGGCTTTACATAAGGTGCCTTACTGACCCTGACAGACGCACTCCTGAAAGGCAGCATGGACCCTGCAAGGTGTAATGCGAAGACTTGGTTTTCAAACTCAGCTAGACCACTGTGAAGAACAAGGTGAACACACCAGATGCAAAACCACTCCTCGGAGCAGAGTTCTCCACTCGTGAGGACCTATCACTTCCTTCCACTGATCACCTTCTCTAGAGAAAACTCAACGTGGCCAGTGGAGCTAAGAATGGTCCCCCCAAAAACCTGGCTCAGTGCCACCTCTCACCAGTAATGTGAACTTCAGCAGTAAATCTTGATTTCCTCCCCCAAAGATAGGAACAGAAATTCCTTCCCAATGGACTCGTGACAGTGTTTGTCCTATCAATGCCAACTATGTCACCGTCAGAAACTCCACTGCTACCACTCTCAGCTGTGCCAAAGCTCACAGTCATATCCCGAAGGCCTAGTCCTAGTCCTCTACCTGGGACACTTGTCTCTCCCTCTAGCCCTACTCCCTACTCTAGCCTGTGGGTGGGCCTTAAGGTAAATTCCATTCCCTTGTCCTTCACAAGGAGAAAGAATATGTCACAAAACTCTCCCAACTCAAAACCCACATTTTTAGGAAATGAGTTAAAATCGTATATCCTCTAAGGACCTTCTTAAATTCTGAAAGCTCTCTGCTCCAGCCGCCCAAAACTGCGCACTGCTACTCTGTCCCTAAATGAAGGATCTGCACCCTCTGGATACCTACGACCCAGCGACCACCAGATTCCCTCACCTGCCTCCCCCACAGTGCAGTCCTTTGATCCTGCATCTAGCATAAAGCCCAAAAGTTCCGAGTCAACTTGAACGTCGTGTGTTCATCGCAGGACGACGACATGCGACGTGACATATCTGCGCGGGGGCCACAGTTCGGTGCCACCAGCACCCACTCACCGGTCGCGGACGCATTTTGCGCACATGGAGCCGCCGTAGGCCCTGCTGACGTGCTTCTTCGTTTTAGAGAGCCTCATGAGAACTTTCGGTCTCACAGCACGAACCTGTGCAAGAGGACACCTAAGATTATCTCGTGTTGCCCCCACAGAAACCAACCCCTAGCTCCGCAGATGCTAGGTACAAATGCCAGAGGGAAGAGGTGCGTGGACTATCTGACAGGCATTTATGTCACTGCATATTTCACTTGGTTCACACGACGGTCTACGTTCTGCAGACTGGTTCAGATCGCGGGTGCTCAGTGACCTCTGCTCCTTCCCTCACCCCCACACCGCAGAACTCATGCTCCCAGCAGGACTCACCCCTCGGAGTCGGCCCGGGCACACGCCACATGCAGATTTGGGTGCTTTCCCAACCTTCTTGGTATAAAGGTAAACGATCCTATTACCAGGGGTTCGGGACCTGGGAAGTGAGGTAACAGGCAAGAGCTCAGCATTTTGTGGAGTCAACGCCAACAGGTACTTTCAATCGCAAAAATACTCACAGCCTAGTCTTGTTGGAGGCTGTGTTGTAGGAAAGCCTACGCCGGTAGGTCAGACGCTGGACCATCCTGAGTGCCTGAATCAGAAAGGAATAAAATCGAGTCCTGCCACTGTAGAGTGATTCAGACTGCAAAGCGGGACAGCATCGCGTAGCTTACACAGCATCCACCTATGTGCGGGCCTTTCAAGCAGCTCACAGGGAGACCAGCAGGTGGTGGAGTAATGGTTACCCTGCTGACTCCCATAGTCGGCTGCGGCTTGAGTCCTGGGCCTGGTGACATAAAACCCATGCCAGGCGCATGTGCATGTGTGCCCTAAGCAACACGGCCATGGGTTTTGTTTTTTTTCTCATTTTGTCTGTCTAGAGAACCCTATAGGAAAAAAATCTCCCTCAAGAAAGCACATAGGAAACATGCACTGTGGAAAACGATGCATAAATTTGTAAAGTTTTACACCAAAAGAAGCACTCTTGTACATTTTTACACAGAAGACTAATACGAAGGGATCTTAAGTACCAAGTCAACAATCCACCAGGACTTATGGGGCAGGAGCGGACAGAAGAGGCGGCTACAGGGTCTCCTGATGGTAATCCTCCAAGGCGCTCCTCGAACTCCCACCAGGCTCCCTGCCTTACCGGGATGTCCGGGAGGCGCAAGGAGGCGGCTGAGAAACACAGGTTTCAAGATCGCTCAGCCGGCTCCGGAGCGGGCTTCCTGGGCCCCCGGCGCGGCCTTCCTGGCCGTGCTACCGGCGGGGAGCGCGGAGTGCAAGGAGCCAGCCTCCTGCAAGCGAAGAGGACCGCCCCGCCGCCACCGCCCGGGACCACCTGGGTGCCGAGTGTGCTGGGTGCGGCACCCGCTTTTCCGTTTATGAGCTGGAAACGACACTCGAGGGGTCACTCGGCAAACGAGCCCCACGGACATGCCCGCGAACGGAACTGCAGGTGAACGGCCAGCCTGGCCCGGACGCGAGCAGCACCCGGGCCCGC